GGGAGAGACTCTAGAGAGGTCCTGGAGGCGAGCATGGGAGGAATTGATGAGGGAGCTAGGGAGCAGGAGGTCTTGGGAGGAGCGGAGAGGACGGTTAGGGTGATACTTTGAGACAAAGTATAAGGTACCTGTGGAAGGTTGAGTCTGAAGTGGAGCAAGGCTGAGGGTTAGGTTAGGCGGTGTCAGGCAGGCAGAGTCAGCAACAAACTGGCAATCAGGTACAAAATATGGGTGCCGTTTCAGCACCCACTGCAGTTGTAAGTCGAGAAACAGGCCGAGGTCTAAAATGGATAGATGTCACCAGCACACCAACAATGTTGTAGTCCAAAAAGGTCATTTATTGGAACGTCAAGTCACCAACACATTTTGTTGTTGGTGTGCTGGTGATATCTATCCATTTTGTACTGAGCGGTGACGCCACCCACGGTCACCCCATCTCCCCCACCTACCCCCCAATCAAATTTGTGGGTTTTTTTCCGGTAAGGAGTGCGATAAGGTATCTTTTTCGTTTGTTACAGGCTGAAAGGGCCACCAGGAGGAATGCTACAGCACCACTACCTCAGGTTCAACTCCCGACAGCTACAAAACAGGTGCTGGGCAGTCAAGTACCTGACACCAGTTATAACCGGGGGCAGAGTTGTGATGGCTTTGTTAGCGGTTATAATAGAGTCGATCAGGTCACCAACACACCGGGGCCCAAATGATCAATTCATCCTTCATAGACTTTAGATGAAGATGCTGTCACAAAAGATTACAACCTTTCAGAACCAGTCTGGCCCTTTCATCAGGCAAAACAATGCGACCGGTCACATTGTTTTGCCTGATGGAGGGACCACACTGGTTTCCGAAATGCTGCGATCTTTTGTGATCTCATGTTCATCTAACGTCAACAAAGGACGGATTGACAATGTGGACCCCGATGTGCTGGTGACCTGATCGACTGTATTGTCTTTGCGGCGCCATCCGCTGGCCGTTTCAGCACCCACTGCAGTTGCAAGAAGAGATAAGTCGGTCTGGAGTGGGTTCGGCCATCTTTACCGTTTGTCCTTTGCAAAGAGAACAGCCTAAGTGCCGTTAGTAAGTCAACCCATCGAACGTCTTTGCTTCCCATGCCCCATGCTTCACATGAATCTCTCTTCCCATGTTCTACTAGAGGTTTTTACAAACACTTTTGCTCAGTTAGATGTTGATAGAATAGCCAGTTGCTGGGTCAAAGATGAGTGAACCAAACCCAGAATGACTTGGCTCAGAATGTCCAGTTCGCCTGATCCCCAGGTGATGAAGTGTAAAAAAAACAGGGATATCGAGTGAAGTCCACCACCACCCATTATGACCAGATATGATCATCCCTATATGTGGTCTATAATATCACTCGGGATTCCCACTGCCGTGTTTACATTCCCCGGGGATCTGTCTTTAAGGGATAGGAGTGGGGCGGGTTAACATTGCCGGATGG